CATTTTTAAACAAGAAAAAATAATACTTCGGTTAACGTTTAATGCTTTCGAACAAACCGGCCCTGAACAACAAAACTTTTGGCTTTAAGGATCTCAGCGTATTAACGAATCCGCGAACGCCTTCCGGCTGTTACGTGCAAAAACTCCAGTCCATTCCTGATATTACTCATCACTGTTGAATTTGTTTTGACAGCCATTTTGAGAACCGTTTCCGGACTAGGGATGATTTATCATGTTATATAATAGGGGGATCTCATTAGAAAAGCTTGTATGAGCTTGCTGGGATCTCCTGCTACTCTAAAATGTTATTTATTATATATCACACCGTTGTAATGGATGAGTGGCAAATAAATCTTCACTTGACTTCACTTCACTTCATTTGCATTTGCTGTCTTGTTATTATAATGCTGTTCAGGTCACGCAAACTTACGAGACAATTTTAAAATCACACACACAATATGTACGAAGCTCTTTATATGGTCTGCTCGGCCCTGTTCATTTCAGTCGTGATTTGGTTGCTGAATCCTTTTGAAAAACTGCACAACTTGCTCAGGTATCTCTTAAAAGGCAATACAGACCATCCGGAAGGTGTTCGTTCCTTCGACGAGATTCCCGGACCATGGGGTTTACCATATTTTGGCGATGATGCATTTAGCTTTGTGAAAACAGTCAAATTCGATGAGCAAATGGCCGCTCTTCGAGACGCCTTTGCGAAATACGGGCCAATATTCAAGAAGACAGTTATGGGAAGAACGGTAGTGTTCTTTGAGGACCCAAGCGATGTAGAAGCCGTCTTCAAGGGAGATGGAAGATTTCCCGTACGATCTGATGATCTTTTCAAACCCCAGAGGGAATACATGAACAGCAGGAAACTACCGGAAGGTTTGGCGAGCTTGTAAGTAAATTAGAGTAAAAGAAAGAAACTTCCCAACATGTAGTTAGTCAGGTTCGCTTTGCTTTATGTACATTAATCGAAGATATACCGTAAAATGTCTTTGTAAGGCCATCCGTCGTTTGACAAAGCGTCCGCCAACATTTCGTGACTTGTCACGACGAATAAATTAACTGTTTGAATTTCCGAAAATTTGTCCAGTGAGGAGTGGATCGGAACATCTTTTTTTCCGGAATATCCGGGGAAGAGGACAACCTCGTCGTCCTCGTGAGGTTTTTCCACATTTTGGAAAATTTCTTACCGAACATTTCTGTTCCACCATATTTCCCTCGCAGAACTTCGGGAATTCTTGGTTGACGGGTTCGCATCTCGATAGCTATTGAACAATTTTCAAATTTTCCGAAAACTTTGCAAGCTAAGGCAATAGACCAATTTCGATATATTAAAATTCAGCTTAAAACAATAGACCTCAGTATGAGGTTCTGGGGAATAACTACAGAGTTTGTGGAATTTTAATATATCAAAATTGGTCTTTTTAAGGTGGTCTTATACTCGAGTCAAA